TCCAAGAAATGAAAACAAGAGTTATTTTTATTGTACTGTTTGCAGTTATTTTTTTCCTGTTTTTCCTTTAGTTTATTCCCTTCCACCACTGATTTGATTTCTGTACCCTTTGTCTTATATACAAGTTGATTATGATTTGGGAAGGTGGAGGGGAAGCACAGAAAGGATTAGACACAGGGTAAACCAATTCAGCAGTGACACTCACTAGATACTATGCTGGAAATGAACTATACAACTTAGGGGAAAGGGGATTGGGAGGGGGAAAACTGGGAGAAGATGAGGGAGGGGTGATTCTGAGTTACATAAGTGTAGCCCCTCTGTACATTACCTTTACAAAAAAATTTAAATTGAAAAAAAGAAAAAGAAGTTGAATGAAATTCCCTGCTCTAGGGTTTTACTGCAGTGTTATATAGGCTTCTTATGACCTTGACAAAGGAGAAAAGGGGAACTAAAGTAGATGTTGTCTAAGATTTCTTCCCAACCTACATCTCTGTGGTTAAATTAAAACTGTGGACAAAAGGTGAACCAATCCAGCAGTGATTCTCACTAGAAACTATGTTGGAAATGAACTTTACAGCCTGGGGGTGGGTGATAGGATGGAAAAAAGTGGGAGAAAATGAGGGAGGGGAGTGTTTAAAAAGAAATATACTCATTACCTGACTTATACACTTCTAACCCCTCTGCACATCACCTTTACAATAAAATTCAAATTAAAAAATAAAGAAAAACTGTGTCAATGTATGTTCCTTGAAAGGTACTATTCCAATGCTATGAATATGTATGGCATGTTTTTCTTTTTCTAAATAATAATATATATAAAAAGTCACTCGTATAAGACAAATTCTGAGCACTTAAGGTATGTCTGGATCTTAAGTCAACATAAAACCATGAAATCAGATGTCTTCATTTATTTATGTAGATAGTATGCTAAACACTTTGCATAAAATACTTAATATTCTAAAAAAAAAAACAAAATAAAAGCTGTATGTGAATTCAGTATTGTGCTCAGGTAAGAGAAGAGGGACAAACTGGAAATTTTAAGTAAGTAATGATTTCAGAGATATAAATATGGCACTTATTTAAATACTTAGTAGGCTATCCTTTATATCTCGGAAATGGTGGTTCTGGTTTATATTACAGAAGCCTGAAGCTGTATAAGAAAACCCTGGACAACTGTCCACTGTGCCCTTTACATACCAACTCATTTATCACAACCATGCTCTGTGGGGCTTTCTGTGAGTGACCTTCTGAACTCCCCAGCGCCCATCAGCAACCTTGTACTAGGTCACAACACTACCTACCCCCTACAGTGCAGAAAAACTCCTAAGGATTGAGACAGAAAGAAAAGCTCAAGAAACCATAGCTTGAAGGATCCCAACTGAGAAAAAAGAAGAGGACAATGTGTTCCAGAGCCCAATAAAGAGCTCAGATCATTAATCTGACAAGAATAATGAGATGAGGTGGCTGGCAGGGTACCAAGCGGCAGAGTAAGGCAGGGCTGACCTGCCTTTACACTTCAAAGGCAATCTGTGGGATTTTGACCCTCTTAGGGAGAAACAATCATTTCATCACCAAAGAAAACTCTCCCTGTACTTCCTTATCAGCTTGAAGTTAGATTGATTTACAGGAAAGTTCTCTTCCAAATTCCATTAATTAGTGAGTTTACTTCTTTCTATCTCATCAAGTCCCCCAGAGCCAAATCTTGTACAAGACAAAACTGAGGATCTCCAGGCACAGCAGAGAGACACAGTATGATCCTGCTGAGTATAGCCACGCTGGTACAACAGTACCACTCATGACAGTAGTAGCAGCAGACAAGCCCCTGATAATATCTATCGCCTGCCCACTGTGCCCACTATTGTTAAGAGTACTGGACCTGAAGAGCTGCCTTCAAATTCACAGAGAAACATGAGCCAGGTTGTATTTTTATCCCCTGTTAAAGGAAAGGAGTCTTAGAGTTTGTAAGTTGCCTAAGGTCATAGAATTACTGATTGGTGCCTTGGGAATTTCAACCAAGCTAGTTAATACCAAAGTCTGCACTTTTAACAACAGACTATTTGAACGTTTTGCTCACAATATTTTTTCAGCTGTTGCTTTTTTAGTTGAAGAATTTTTCAAGCTGTTCCTAACTTGTAGGATAAGAGACATTGCCTTAGTGATGACAAAATATGCATCTATAGGTATCTAGACAGTTGAAAAACAAAATTCCTTATGAATAATGACATGAGATACCAACGTAGCAGGGAAAGGGAAACCGAAATAGTTAAAGATCAGTAATTATCAAAGCTAGGGGATGAAAATAAAAGGACCCAAGCTCTCTTCTGTGGATTGTGCCTGAAAGTTTTCATAATAAAAGGTTTTAAAATGGCTTTATCTTATTGGCAGTTCAATGCATCATTTCTTTTTCTTTTTTCTTTTTCTAATTTTGTGGTGGTCCTAGGGCTTACATTCAGGGCATAGGTGCTGTCCCTGAGAGTTTTTTTCTTCTTTATTTTGCTCAAGGCTAGCACTCTACCAACTGAGCCACAGCTCCACCTCTGGCTTTTTGGTGGCTAACTGGAGATAAGAGACTTAATGGCCTTTTCTGCCTGTGCTGGCTTCACCCTGTTTTATGAGTTAGAGTAACTTTTACTTTACAATAAGTGTCATTTTCATTTTATACCCAGAGAACTGTTCCTGTCCATTGCCCATTTTATATCATTGATTTCATACAGTTTTTTTTCATTTTTGCAACAACAGGCAGGGCTGTATCTAGACTTTAGGTGACATAAAACTTGTGCAATCTGGACATTCTTGTTAAAATAGACAATATAAAATTATTAATGCAAACATCACATAGAGATACATTTCTTTTTTAAAAGCACACTAATGATTCTGAGTCTTAAAAATTCAATCACGTTCATTGAGATGCCTTGGACAATATTTTTTTTCTTTAGGGTTCATTCTTGCCAAGCAGGCACTCTACCATTTGTCTGAGGGCTACAGTCCTTTTGCTCTTCTGGAGCCATGACCTTCTCAATCTCTGCCTCCTGGATGGCTAAAATGACAATTTAACAGAAATGCTTACATGAGACAAATACTGGAGGCAAAATGGCTTTTTCCTCTCCACCAAGAACACTACAGCTCCAAGAAATACACTGTACCCAGGGCACTTGAAGCTTAAATCAGTGGCTACAAGGGAAATTAGAGCCTGCCTGAAACAGGCATTCTCATCCATCTCACAGATGGGCAATCTGGGATTTAAAGATGCAAGGACATGTCTCAAGTCACACAGTGGATGTCAAATTTCCATTCAAAAAAGCCTTTTGTGGGGCTTAACTGATACACAGTTTCTCTCAGTGGTCTTAAACCAACCACTGGATTTAAGAAAATGTATCTTTTCAAAGTAATTCAATTTCATTACTGGTCCTCCAGAGAGATGGGAGGCTTTCACGTAAAAAAAATTCTAGTTTCCCGTCGTATTTCCAAAACATGTCTTCACTCCTTAAAACAAACAAACAAAAAGTCAAAAGCCTCCTCAGTGTGCCTAGGCACACAAAAGCTAAGGTCAGAATCCTCCCTGTGCTCCTGGCCACCTGAGAGGTCAGTGACACTGAGGGAAGGGGCAAACAGGAAGTCAGGGTTGACTCCGCTGGGAGGGTAAGTGGAATGCAAGGCCCTAGAGTTGATCCCAGGACAGACCCCACCACCCCTTACAGAGGGGGGGGTGGGGGAGGAAGAGAGAGGGGGGGAGAGGAGAGGAGAGAGGAGAGAAAAGAAGGGAAGGAAGGAAGGGAAGAAAAGGAAGGGAGTGAGGGAGGGAGAGGAAGGGAAGGGAAGGGAAGGAAAGGGGAAATGAAAAAGGAAAAGAGGAAAGGGGAAAGGGAAAAGGAAAAGGAGAAAGGAAAGGAAAGGAAAGGAAAGGAAAGGAAAGGAAAGGAAAGGAAAGGAAAGGAAAGGAAAGGAAAGCAGGCAGGAAGGCAGGCAGGCAGGCAGGCTAAAGCTTATTAGCCTTTGTGTCTGTGTCAGGGGTTTGCTTTCTGTGAACTCTACTTACCATTTCTACTACCACTAGATCCTCAGATTAGTTGACACAAAACTTGGAAAAGGAATTACATTACTATGATCAACTTAATAACAACTATGTATGTAAAGAGCCCAAATCTATGCTAGAAAATAGAACCTTTCTACCTCAACTCAAAAAAAATAATATGGAAAACCTCTACATTCATAATGACAGAGCCACGATCACTGATTTTCACTGAGGGTGGTGCTAGCAAAAGCTGCTAATAAAAGCTAACACCAGGAAGTCAGAAGGCTGAACACCCAGCAGTGGCAGGCACAGTCAGTATGCCAAAAAACTGTCCAGACAAACATTCCAACAGCATCCACAAACACAAAAAGTTTTAGGTGAAAGGATGGATGAGTTTATATGGACACAGTTGCACTTCATCCGGCCTTCAGGATACTCTGATAACTTGAAGGAACAGAATGAAAGGCCTGGAGCATAGAGCATGAAAAGTCACTCGACATCATTTCCTACAGCCCCAGCTGCCCACCAGCCAATCACAAACTGCCATATCAGATACAGTTAAGTACAAAAGAAGCCTTAGATTTTAAGAGTTATACCTCCTCAGCCACCTCTTCAGAAGTAAAAGGCTTTTAAATTAATGTGCACAAACTTTTATTTTCAAGTTCATCAACAACTTTTTTGCAGCTAAATAAATATTATTCAATCTACAATATTCAAGACTAAAAGCCTTCTCAGATAGAAATAATGAAATTGAAAGTAAGATCAAAATTTCTGTACTCAAACAGCATTATTTACTTGAAGATCCAAGAAACACTTATCAAAACAGCAGGACAATATGCCATACTTCAGACCCAAACATGTTATAAATACTTATCATGTTGAAAAGAGAAGCATTTTTTAAGATATCACATGATTTTATTCAATTTAAACATTTTCTTGAAACTGCTACAGTTCTATAAACAAACTTTTTTATCTTTATCAGCTTTACCTGCTATTTGTACCGAACCATCTTCACCCAGAAGAATATTACCAGCTTTCAAATCCCTATTAGAATGAAAAAAGGGGAAATGAATTGGAAAGAACAGACAAAATAGTACATAGGCTCACTGAGAAAGACTTTAAAACACAGCATACAAGGCCTGTTTGACATAATTACTATTTTATGAATATTTAAATTACATTATAGATTTTAAATGTTACAAAGATACACTGTCATTTTATACTTTGCTCCTGGGGCACAATGACAATTTCAATAAAAGATACTTTATGTGAAATCATTATATTTAATTAAATCATTACTTAGTAGACTATTTTATGTTTCAGAGTTAGAAACAGTCCTAATTTCACAATATTACCATATCATAAAGAATTAAAGCTTCATGTAAGTAAAGCCATTCTACTTTCACTTAAATTTGTCTGTGGTGCTTTTCCAAACCTTAGAGTTTTTAAAAATTAGTTTTATCATCAGGTGCCAGTATCTCATGCCTGTAATCGTAGCTATTCTGGAAGCTGAGATCTAACAATCAAGGTTTGAAGCCAGCCCAGGTAGGAAAGTCTGTAAGACTCTTGTCTTCAGTTAACCACCACCAAAAGCCAGAAATGGGGCTCAAGTGGTAGAACACCGTGCCTGAGGGAAAAAGCTCAGAGAAAGCACCCAAGACCTGAGTTCAAGCTACAGCCATGGGGAAAAAAATGATTTGATCAATCTCTCCCTTGAAGAGATATCAGTGATTGATTATAAAGTTCCATATAATATTTCTTTACTACATAGAAACTATGCAGAGCAATTTCAACACTTAAAGAAAAATAATTTGTAAATTTCTAAAGTAATAGTCTTTTTCTAAGTATTGAACAGTATAGTGTAATTAAATACATACCTCATAGTTCAGGTTAAAATAAGTACATTATTAGTATTACTGGTAAATAGTTTTCTATTTGTTAAAACTCCAACTATGCATCATGCACTCATATTCTATGTTATTCAAAGAACTAGTATTCTATATTACAAAAAAAAGGAGGAAATCAGTGTCTCTTCCTTCTCTCACCATTAGGTCAAAAATAATTAACATTTATAAAGCCTTGCCTGTATTAGAAAATTAAAGCTAGTATCCAGTTCAACTAAGTACACTTAAAGTAATTATGTTAACTAATTTTTAATGAGTCTACTTAACACTTTTTATAATCAGCTTTTTTTTTAGTGAAAGTAGAGAAACCAATCCCAAGTATACCAATATAATCCATCCAAATTTAGCCTTTTATCCTTAAATTTTGTTTTGGTTTGGTTTTTCTTAGTACTGGGGATCAAATGCTGAGTCTTCCACATACTAAGCACAGGATCAACCACTGAGCTATATCTTCAGCCCTGATACTTTGCTCTCAGCTATATAGCCTAAGTTACAAGCAATGCCAAACTTATTCTCATGTGCTTCCTTGAAGTTCCTTAAAATCTAGATCTAGGGCCTGACTCCAATGGCTCATAGGGAGCCTAGATCCTCATGCAACCCTAGCTAATGGGGAGGCTGAGATTTGAGAATCACAGTTCAAAGCCCGCCTGGGCAGGAACATCTATGAGACTCTTATCTCCAATGAATTACCACAAAGCCAGAAGTGGAGCTGTGGTTCAAGTGGTAGAGCACTAGCTTTGAGCAAAAAAGCTCAGAGAGTACCCAGGGCCTCAAAGTCTCAAGCTCCAAACTGACCAAAAAATCCCTAGATTTAGGAGTTGAAGGAATGGATCAGGTGGTAGAGCTCCAGGCAAAGAGCAAAAGCATCAAATACTGAGTTTAAGCCCTTATCTCAGGAAAAAAAAAAACAAATAACAACATAAAAAACTAGAACTAAGTATATGAAGAGTTGAATTCTGCAGACACTATACCTGTGGATCTGACCATTTCTGTGTAGATAGTCTAAGCCTTCCAAAACCTCTTTAAGAATTGTTGCTATTATTGCCTCTTCCAGAACTCCATTCTTGTGCTCTCCTCGGTTGACAATGTACTTGATGATATCCAACATTGAGCCTGAGTGGCAAACAGAAGAATTGAAAAAGTGAATTTATAAGCATCCCCATTTCAGATTATGACACCCTCTACAAATAGAACATTAGTACGAACATCAAAACAGAACTTTTGCTTAATTACTGTGACTATCCCAAGACATACAAACAATTGAATGCATGCCCATGACTGACAAAACTAAATCTATAACTGCAAAAACACTAACTGTGTGAACTTAAACAGAAGACTTTGAGGAACCAAGGACTTGGGAGTGTAGCTCAGGGGTAAAGTATGTACTTAATATGTGCAAGGCTATGATGGCTAATCATGGTTTTCAACTTGATTGATTGAGAAATAACTAAGAGATTAACAAAGTACACTTGTGAGTATATCTATGAAGGTATTTCCAGAGACAACTTACAGTGACTGAGGAGAAAAATACACTCAGGGCAATGCCATCCAAGAGACTAGCAGCCCAGATGGACTGTGAATGGACAGAAAAAGCTAGCTAGCTTGTGCAGTGTCTACTCTTCGAGAACATGTATATCCACTGAGGCTACCATTGTCCAAGGACACTAACCTCAGCTTTTTCTGCTTGTCAATGTAGACTTACACCAGTAAAACTCTCTCCAGAGAGATTCCAGGCCTTCAGCCCTGACACTTGGGCTGCATCATTGGTCCCCTTTAGCAGTGACCGAGTTCTGCAGCTCTCTCATTGCAGACAGCTATTTGTTGAACCATATAGCCTCCAATCATACACACCTACTTAGTAAATACCCTTCTATAATTATATGTGCATATAATAAAATATACATAGCTCCTATCAGTTGTGTTTCTCAAGAGAACCCTGACTAATACAACAATCCTAGGTGGGTTTGCTATCACCACATTTTGGAAAAAAAATTGTTCAGTACTACTTATTACACATAAAATTATAAACAAACTTTAAGATGGCTAACAAAGAAAAAAGTAGGAGGACAGGAGTAAGACAGCAGTGAACTGCTGCAAGAACGATTAATAGTTCTTCTTTAACATCTAAAACGAAAGTGGGAGGCAGAGAGAGTATGTGGTCGCTAGACCTCTGCTTATAACCAAAGAAATCCCTTTCTATGATTCTAGGCAATCTTTGTTTTCATCTACCTGATGATTCACGTGCTTGACTTTCATAATAAAAAATAAGTAAATAACTATCTAGCACTTTGTTACTGTGTACATTGGTATCCTTGGCATTGTGACTTCATGTTTCAACACATATTAATATTCCATACCTTGGAGTCATTTTAAAAGTACTAATTACCCAGAAGTTCAACATTTCTGAAGAGTTAACAAATGGCCTGCCTCAGGACTTGAATTTGGCTGTAGGTGCTCCATTATTAGCTAAGATGATTGAGTTTCCCCATCAGATACTACTGTACCAGATTAGCTACCAGCCTCATTAGGAGATTCAATGTGATAGATGTTATAGAAAAAAATAGATGCATATTTTCCTCTTTAGAGAGATAAATAATCTGCTCATACATTTAACCTTGAATGTTATTTGGAAAATTTCAGAGGAAAAAAGGGAGAATATAATATACCAGATATATGTGCATTTCTGGCCTGCTGAAAGAAAAACAAACAAAAGTCCCTATCACCCAATGTTCCCATTACCTGTGGAAACCTGTTGAAAATCTATTCTTCTTACCTATAGCCCTAGGGGACTGGATTAAACTCCTAAATTCAATAATGAATTTTCTATAAGAAAAGACAAGAGACATTTTCAAGTCTATAAAAGTGAAAGGTTAATTGGGATTAAAATCACCAACTTAAACAGAGTATTTGAAACTAATCAGGATCCAGTCATCAGAACTCTTGTTTTCTCTGAGCTGGTGAAACTTCTTGGCAAGAGAAAGAAATAAACAGGACTCAAACAGGGAAGGAAGAAGTCAAAATATCCCTGTTAGCAAATGATATGATCCTGTAATTAAAATACCCTAACAGAAAACACTTCAATGTGAGAAATGCCTTCAGCAAAGTTACAGAATGCAAAATCAACATACAAAATCAATAGCTTTTCTGTATACCAACAAGGAACTTGCTAGGGAGAAAAAGTCAGGAAAACAATCTCATTTACAGTAGACTCAAAAAGCAAAATAAAAGCCGGGTGTTGGTGGCTCACGCCTGTAATCCTAGCTACTCAAGAGGCAAGATCTGAGGATCACAGTTCAAAGCCTGCCCAGGAAGAAAAAGTCTGTGAGACTCTTATCTCCAATTAACCACCAGAAAACCAGAAGTGGCACTGTGGCTCAAGTGGTAGTGTGTTAACCTTGAGCTTAAGAGCTGAGGGACAGCACCTAGGCCCAGAGTTCAAGCCCCATGAGCGGAAAAAAAAAAAAGCAAAATAAAGTATCCATACATATGCTTAGCCAAAGATGTTAAAGATTTTTATAATGAAAAGTATAAGTATTAAAGAAAGGAATTGTGGAAGGCACCAGAAAATAGAAAAGATCAGCCAAATGATAGCAGAATTGATAAAGTACACTTCCATAGGCAACATAAATATTCAGTGCAACTCCCATCAAAAATTTCAATGCTATTCTTTATTAAAATAAGGAGGGGGAATTCTAAAGTTTACATGGAAACACAAAAAGATGAGCCAAAGCAATCCTAAACAATAACAAGCAATACTAGCAGTCTTATCATACATACCTGACTTCAAACTACACCACAGAAGTATAATAAGAAAAGACAGCAAAGAAAAAAGATATATTGGTCAAGGGAAGAGACCAGTAGATCTAAAATAATAGGGTACATACTGTACTGTCTGATTCTTCACAAAGATCCCAAAACCATACATAAGAAAAAAAGATTACCCCCCCTCTGCCCCCCACTTTTGCTGGGCACCAGTGGCTCACGACTGTAATCCTAGCTACTCAGGAGGCTGAGATCTGAGGATCCTGGTTCAAAGCCAGCCCAGGCAAGAAAGTCAGTGAGACTCTGATCTCCAATAAACCAGTAGAAAACCGGAAGTGGCACTGTGACTCAAGCGGTAGAGCACTCGCCTTGAGCTGAAGAGCACAGGGAGAGCGCCCAAGCCCAGAGTTCAAGCCCCATGACCGACCAAAAAAAAAAAAAAAGAAAGAAAGAAAGAAAAAAGACCCCCTTCTTTAATAAATGGTGCTGAGAAAACTGGGTATCTACATGTAGGAGACTGAAACTATATTCCTATCGTTCATCTTGTAGAAAAGTCAACTCAAATTGTGTCAAAGAGCTGGGCTCTGGTAGTTCACTCCTGTAATCCTACTCAGGAAGTTGAGATCTGAGCATCAATGTTTGAAACCAGCCTGGGCAGGAAATTCTGTAAGACTCTTGCCACCAATAAACCTGACATGCATTTACCCAAATCATCACAAGGCCATACTAAAGCTATGAGCACAACTATGTTTATCACAGCAATATTCACCATAGCTAAGATATGGTACCAACCCAGATGCCCCTTAGTAAATGGATGGATCAAGAAAATGTTTATATATTATATATATATATATATATATATATATATATATACATATATATAATGAAATTCTATGCCTCCATTAGAAAGAATGACATTGCCCCATTTGTTAGGAAATGGAAAGACTTGGAAAAATTTTATTGAGTGAAATACGGCAGGCCCAAAGAAACATAGGTCTCATGTTTTTTTTTTATTTGGAATAACTAGTATATGTCTAGGACAAGCAGAAAGGTACATATGACCATATAAGATAATGCTAAGCGAAATGAACCCCAAGTTAAGGACACAAGAGGCTTTATCTTTCTTGCTGTTGTTTTTAGTGTATTTATAATGTACTATGTAATTTTTTTGTTTCTTTTGTATGTTCTTCCCCCATGGTATACCCCTGCTTTCACTGTATTTGATTCTGGTGTCCTTCATCTTGTATATACATTTCTCTAATTCGGGTAGGAGAAGGGAAAAAACAAAATGCTTAAAGAAGGATACAGGTTGACCCTTTGTAACAATGAAATGTACAAGACACTATGTTGAAAACAAACTTTACAACTTCATGGGGGGGAGGGAGGAATTGGGGAGGGCAGGGAGGGAAGAGATAGTAGGGGAAAAACAAAGGAGGAAGTAACAATGCTTGATAGGAAATGTACATTATCTCACTCATGTAACTGTACCCCCTCTGAACAGTATCTTTACAATAAAAAATATATAGTAAGGGGGCTGGGAAGGTGGCTCACTGGTAGAGTGCTTGCCTTGCATGCATAAGGCCCTGGTTTGATTCCTCAGCACCACATAAGCAGACAAAGCTAGAAGTGGTGCTATGGCTCAAGTGGTAGAGCTTGAAGAGCTGAAGAGCTGAAGAGCTGAGGGACGGCACCCAGGCCCAGAGTTCAGGCCCCATGACCAAAAAAAAATTAAAAAAAAAATAAATATATATGTATGTATGTAACCAAAAAAAGGTGAAGTGGCACTGTGGCTCAAGAAGAAGAAGAAGAGGAGGAGGGAGGGAGAGGGGGAGAAAGAGGAAGAGGGGGAAGAAGAAGGGGAGGAAGGAGGAGGAAGAGGAAGAAGAGGAGGAAGAAGAAGAAGAGTAAAAGACTTTAAGGAAAGCCTGGAATTCTAAAACTACTAGAGGAAAGCAGAGAGAAAACAGACACAGGCAAAAACTATCCTAATAAGAATACAATATCACTAGGCACCAGTGGTTCATACCTCTCACCTCTCAGGAGGTTGAAATCTGAGGATCAAGGTTCAAGCCAGCACAGGCAGGAAAATCTGTGACATTCTTATCTCTAATTAAGCACCACCAAAAAACTCAAAGTAGCACTGTGGCTCCAGTAGTAAAGCATTATCCTTGATCAAAAAAAGCTCAAGATATGGCTCAAAGCCTACATAAAAAGGAACAAGAACAAGAACAAAAAACAGGGAAGGAAGGAAAGAAGGAAGGAAGGAAGGAAGGAAGGAAGGAAGGAAGGAAGGAAGGAAGGAAGGAAGGAAGGAAGGAAGGAAGGAAGGAAGGAAGAGAGGGAGGGAGGGAGGAAGGAAGGAAGGGGGAGGGAGGGAAGGAGGGAGGAGAAAAAGAAAGAAGGAAAGAGAGAAAGAAAGTAAAAGAAAAAGAGAGAAAAAGAAAAAAGGAAAGAGAAAGAAAAGAAGGAAGAGAGGAAGAAAGAAAGAAGACTACAATAGCTTAGGAAATAAGAGCAAGAATTGACAAAAATATGATTGTGTCCAGTTAAAAAGTTCATGCAGATCACTGGAAACAACAGAGTAAAAAGACAGCCTAGAGAATGTGAGAAAAACCTAGAATTTATAAGAAACCTAAAAGTTAGTGAAAAGAAAAAAAGAAAAGCAAATGAGCCAATCAATAAATAAGAAATGGAACTGAACACTTTTTAAATAAATAATAAATACAGCCAATAAATACATGAGAGAAAAAATGTTCAACAACCTGTAGCAATCAGGGAAGCAAAAATAAAAACTCCCTGGAGTTTCCCTCTAACCTCAGTCAGAATTGGCATCATCAAGGAAACAAGGAAATATTGGGAGGATGGGGAAACTGGGGAAGGAGCTCTTATTCACTACTGTTAATGTAAATGATTGCAGCCACTACAGAACTCAGTATGAGGGTTGCTCAAACAAACTTAAAAAATTGAACTTCTGTACGATACAGTTGCACTGCTTCTGAGTATAAACATAAATGAATCAGTCAATTTACTACAGAAATGTCTGTATCCTTAAGTTTCTCACAGCATTATTCTATATCCAAACTATGGATTCAACCAAGATGGGACAAGGTGGTATACTTATACCTTAAGAGTTTTACTCAGCCATTAAGAACAAGATTATGTTGTGTGGAGGGTAAGAAAGAACAATAGAGAGAGCAAAAGAGAGAGCAATAGAGCAATGGAATTACATTTAACACATGGAAGGAAATGTCAGTGATGAAATCCTTTTATATTGTACCATTTAATTTATGGAAAGCACAGTCCTCCATAGAAAGAAGGAATCACCTCAGCTCTCAATATTTTGGTCCAGACTTTATAGCCTTTCTTTTCCTCTTTTATCTTTCATGTTCAATCAAAAACGAAAGCAGACACTCAAGGAAATAAAGATTACTAGGACTGTGGAGGACTGGGAAGGACACAGCTAAGTTCTCTGTGTTCCCTATAGGTAAACCCATTATAATATATTCTTCATCTTATTTCTAAGCCTCTGGCTTAATCCAAGAGATTCTTTAAAAAGAAGAAACTTGAAATGTGTACTACAAGCTTTGGCTTTCTTTGGGCTTTACAGAATGATCACGTCTAGTCCTAAACTATCCCTCATCCCTCAGGACTACACACAGAGGATGTAACCCACAGAGAGCTAAGGAAGTCACTTAGACATTTTAAGTGATTTGGAGTATAGCACAACGTTAAAGTTGACAGTCCTTCAGTCTCAAAATCCAGCAGCAGCAGTAGCAGCAGCAATTACTATGTGTATGACCTTGGTCAGGTTTCTCCCTTGAATTTGGGGATGAAGTCAAGGTCAAATGAGATAGGTAAGTGAATTTTCTTGAAAAGGATCTCACCATAGCATAACTGTTAATAATAAAGTTAATGGTTTTTCTCAGTCCCTCTCTCACTGATGTTGAGTACATTGACAAGAAAGAGCCATGTCAATTAAACTGACAATAACTTACATGATGTCAGAAATTTTGGGAGTGGGGGGAGGAGTTGGGAAGTTGGGAAGGGAAGGGATGATAGGGGAAAAACAAAGGAGGTGACAATGCTCAATAGGAAATGTACTCATTACCTTACTCATGTAACTATAATCCCTCTGTATAGTAATTTTTACAATAAAAAGCATATGTATACACACACACACACACACACACACACACACACACATATATATGAAGAAGGAAAAAAGGAAGAAAGAGAGGGAGGAAAGGAGGGAGGGAAGAGAGGGAGGGAGAGAGATGGTAATGATGTCCCTTCTGATCACCACATAAGTAAACACTCAACACACATTTCTCTCCAAGTCAACTGAGCACCCACTGAACACCAGGTTCAGAGTCCAAGTACACTATAGTTCTTTCTTCAAACAAAAGAACAGTCCACATGCTTGAGCCTGCAGTCTCATGTCTGAAAGCATAGTCACTAGCCATGTGAGGTGATTTAAATATGAGTGAAGTAAAACTAAACAGAAACTCAGTCCCTCAGTCATACTAGCTACACATCTTCCTCCTCAGAAAGTTTTAATATTAGAGCAACACTAAAATGATCTTGTATATTACAATGCACTAAGTACTGAACAATGTTTTAAAAGAGTTCAAAGCAACCCCTTTTTGCAGATAATATATGCATATTTTTAATGATCTGACTTCCAGTGGCTCATTTAGCTATTCAGAGGCTGAGATATGAACATGAAGGTTTGAAGCCAGCAAAGGCAGGAAAGTCCCTGAGACTCTTATCTCCAATTAATTACCAAAGAGCTGGAAGTGGAGCCATGGCTCAAGTGGTAAGAGTGCCAACCTTGAATGAGAAAAACTAAGAGACAGTACCTAGGCTTAGATTTTAAGTCCTAGACTTCAAGTCTAGTACTAGCACAAAAAGAAGGGGAGAAAGAAGATGAAAGAAGATGAGGAAGGAGAACAAGAGAAAGTGGGGAAGAGGTGGAAGAGAATGAGAAGGAAATGAGTTTTAAGAGGCAACACTGCACTGCACTAGGAATGTAGTCAGCACAAGAGAGTGCTTGTCTGGCATTTCTGAGGCCCTGGATTCATGCTCAGCACTGAGAAAAAAAGAAGACAAAAGAAAGAAGGAAAAAGGAAGAAGGTAGAATGAGACGAAGAAGAAGAAGAAGAAGAAGAAGAAGAAGAAGAAGAAGAAGAAGAAGAAGAAGAAGAAGAAGAAG